GAATGACCATTGCGACGAAAACCATGAGCTACCTAATTTGACTTATATTATAAATCGACATGAGTTCGTGGGGAATTTGATTTTACGGCAAATTCGAATTTAATGACATTTTTCGACAAAATTAAATGATCAATATACTTATGCAATGCGCTAAGAAAACGGCTTAACACTTGTTTCATAAGAGAGTTTGTATGCGAAGAAATCTGTGATAGACTATAGTTGTATTATGATCTTTGTGGTCTTGGTGGTCTATTTGATTTATATGATATTGTGGTCTATGTGGTCTTGGTGGTTTTGGTGGTCTTGTGGTCTGTGAGATATGATATTTTTTGTAATTCTGTAAAAATCGTGATTTAAATATGGATATATAAAGAGTTGAATTCATACTGACAAAGACATCGAGCAAGCTCTATGACGGTAATGTAAGGAAGATTTGCAAGGGAAGATATGTCGCCTGACATCAGTAAGTAACGTTCGTCATTGCAACTCACTTAACCCTCGACTGTGTAAAAAAGAATTAGTTTTTGTATAAATCGCAATACGATATATTACGCGCATCTCTCCAAAAGACCACCAAAACCACCAAAACCACATAGACCACATAGACCACATAGACCCCTATAGTAGTGATGTCAGTTAATATTAGTTTTTCACAAATTCATTTGCTTTTAACATAAATGATTTTGCTACAAAATCATATTCCCCACCATATGACAATAACATTCTTTCTGTTTCTCTTTTTGTTCGGAGCGAGAGAGTATGCACGGATATATAGATATATATTCGTGAATGTACTCGAATAAAGGATATTTCTCATCGAGTATCTCTTGTCTGTTTGGTGAGGGATGTGTTGATCATACAGAGAGCTCACAGAAGTAAATTACATGATTCTCATGTATTCAATTCCTTCTGCAGAAAAACGTGAATCGCCCTAAAAGAATAATTGCACGTAGAAAGAACATACTTTCATACGCCTCCTAAAGACATTTTTCCTTCATTTTTTCACATACTCCAATGCTATTAAAGGAAACAAACAATATACGTCTTTGCTTAAAATACCACTTTCGAAGCATTCTATCACGCAAAACAGAAGATAAAATTCTTGCCCACACATAAATGCCAGTATCATAGATCAAAGTTCACATTCTCAACTCATCCTATAAATACGAAGCACTTTTTCATTATAACACTCATCTCTTAGGTTGCCTATAAGTAAGTATCATTCCGCTTATTAAAAACATAAAACCACATATTCTCATGAATCAGATTGATATAAAATATACAAGTAACTATACCATTCAACACAATACAAATTATATACAAATCAACACCAGTCAAGCCAACAACACTCCAAAAGTAGAAAGTCTATCCACAGAAATTCATCGCAATTCTGCATCTCAAACCAACAAAATACAATCAAAGACATTCAAAGCAAAATATCACCAATGATTAACTATTATGACATACATAATCTGTACCGATCTTCAACAAATAGGTAAGATAAAAACTATATAATTTCAACTTTAGATAGATTAGGTCTTTCGTAATCATATTTGAGACTAAACCATCTGATGAGACCCTTGAAAAAGGTCGAAACGCGTCATGGCAGCTTGACTCACCGTCACGTCCAAGGGAAGGAGCTGGTAGGAGTCAGCAGAAAAGGGACAAATGTGGATAAAGGAATTTATGGATTGAAACAGTGCCTTAATGCATGTTGGAGGAAATATTTCAGTTTTACAGGACATTCTACATCAGAGGTAGGACAAGTACACGTACACAAAGTACACGTACAAGTACTTGTACGTGCATGGATGTACCTGTACTTGCACTTGTACTTGCCAGAAAATACTTGTACTTGTACTTCTAGTAGAGTAGGGGTGGACCATTTAATTTATTTTTACCTAATTAACGGAGCGCGTTAATTGTTAATATTAACGCTAACGTAAACCGTTAACGGGTTGCACTTAACCGTTACTTTCCACTGAATTAACTCATAAACGGTTAAATAATCATAATCTATGATCCTTTCTGACAACTAATTATCTATACGACCCAGCAATAATTACATGTGCCCTGGTAAGATACTCATCTCTCAGGTTAATGCTACCGTCGGAACCAGTCTTGGAAAAAGCCTTTATTCCAAGGTGCATTCCCGCGAATTCTGATTGGTCAATTTCGACCAATCAGCGATGACCGCGATTTTTTTTCAAAAACTTATTTTCGCTGGAAATCGACCATGGGGGCCTTATACAAGGATGTTTCTTTGACCTGGAATTCTGATTGGCCAATTTCGACCAATCAGCGATGACCGCGATTTTTTTTCAAAAACTTATTTTCGCTGGAAATCGACCATGGGGGCCTTATAGGGTATGGTTACCTATCCTAGAATGAAAGACCGTACTCGATTACCCCAACATTGGCACAGGTAACCAAGACACTATCTTTGAGAATAGCGAAGAAAATGGGAAAATGAATCCTGTAGTCCCATTGGTCCATTTTCGTATCGCTTCGGAGGTTGAAATACAGGTAGAAAGTACTCTACTAGAAGTACAAGTACAAGTACAAGTACTCTGAGCTAAGTACAAGTATTTCTACGTTGTACTTGAAAAGTACAAAAAGTGCAAGTACATGTACTTGCGTCCTACCTCTGGGCTCAATACATTCATGTGGAAGCCCATACTAGAAGTGACAAGTCGAGAATTTGAAGAGAGTTTCGAAGTATTGGCAAAGTGTACTGGATCCACTATTGATGAAGAATTTCTTTCTTTCTTTCTTTCTGATATCTATCTAGTTACGCCACTAACCTTAAACCTCAATATATTAAACGAAAATACGAACGAATTAAACTTGAGTGAAAGATACTCTTTTATCAAATCTTACACACAACAACAACAACATCAAACGATTCTAATCATCTGTTTTTATTGAAATTTGAGAGTCAAATGAATTTTACTCTATACATATACTATATCATCCATCACGATTTTAATACATAGTGTAAAAATATTTTAAAATAATCATGATTATGAGTAAGTATCAATTGTAACTGGTACACACAGTTAATACTATAGAAATCATAGCAAAGAGAAAATGTTCGCTTAAATATATTTCAAAGCAAAAGCAAGTTCATGAAAAGTTTAGATTAATTAGATGAGATTTTGATTGATCTTCTTTTCTAATATTAATATTAAACTTTTATATAAAATATATTTCATATGTCTGTCATTTGGTACAGTTTCTAAAGCTTGTTTATAATATGATAATGCCAATAGGTAATTTTTTTCTTTTTCCTCATAAATTAAACCAATATTTTTATAAATTTCTCCGAGATCTGGATGTTGAAGACAATCTTTATATTGTGATAAACATTTGAAATAATTCTTCATAGCAATTTCTATTTGATCAAGTTTAAAGTAAACATAACCAATATAATTATATAAAATAACGATTAATCTATGTAAATGTAAATTTTCATTGAATATTAATTCCCATGCTTGTCCAAAATAATTCAAAGATTCATAATAATTTTTAAGTTTACATTGGACTAATCCTAAATTTATATAAATATGTACCCGCACGGATCGGCTCTTGTTTTTAAAAGCACCTATAGATTGACTTTTTAAACAAAACTTCAGGGCATCTATTAATTGACCATATTTTAAATAAATGCGAGCGATATAAATATAAATAAAATCATAATTTTCATGTGTTCTATCATTTTGATATTTTTGAAGAATATTATAAACTGTTTGATAACATATTAATGCTAATTTATCATTTCCAAAATGTTCATAAACTGAACCCATATTGATATATGAAGTAGAAAGTTTTATAAAATCAATTGATTTCAAATTAATTTGATAATCAATAGTCTTTTTAACAAGAGCATATGCTTCATCAAATTCTCCATTCGCAATATATGTTAACCATAATTGTTCATACGAATAAATAATATCATCTGGTTCTTTACAATATTCCAATGATTTCTTATACATAATGAGAGCGTTATTATATTCTCCGTTTAGGCTAAAATTGTATCCAATGCAACAATAAAGATTTCGTAAAGCATAATCACTTAAATCATACTGAATGAATATCATAGCTGTTAAAATATAGTTTAACGATTCATTGAAATTCCATGGTTTGGAAGTTTGAAGAGCTAATGTAGCGTCATTATATGATGCTATAACGAAATCATATTGAACTGGAATACATGATAAAAAATGTTGAATTGATTTTTCTGCATATATAAAAGCATAGTTGCCATTATGCAGTGCTAAATAGGATAAACATAAAACTTTATAACATGATCCTAATTTTTCATGATCAATTGATTTTGAATTATATAAAAATGTTAATGCAATTTTAGACTTTGATATTGCCATTACATAATCTTTTTTCTCATAATAAAGTTGAGCAATAAGAAAATAATTTAGTCCGTATTGATTATAATCATTTGATATATGTGAAAGATGTTTTTCAAAATATAAAATCGATTTATTATAATCTTTTATTGATTTATATGCAAATGCTATTCGAAAATATAATAAATCTTTGATTAGTTTTTCTTTTTTACCTTTATATCGATTAATTATATGTTCTACTTGTTGAATATTATTTAATGCTTCATCATAATTTCCTTTTAAAACTTTATATTTTGAAATTGAAAGATAAACTGAAATAATATCAAAACTAATCGTTGAACTTTCTTCGATATTGTCTATAAGATATCCTTCACCATAGATAGATCGTTGTATATCATTTAATGGTATATTATCAAGATTTAATAATTTTAAATACATATCTCGACTTTTCTCGAAATAACTTAATGGGACATCTGAATCTTCTCCATTAATCCATATATATGCTTCACCTAATAGATAATATGTATGTAATAATTGTTGATAACAATGTGGAAAACACATTAATTGATATTTTAAAGATAAGTCATAATAATAAAATACCTTTGTATAGTCTTTTTTTAACATGTAATATTTTGCAATGAACGCATAAAAATGAATCTTTAAATCGTTTGATTCATTTTGTTTTGATAGGATATTGATGATTTCATCAATATAATTTTGATTTTGTTCATGACATGAATGTATCATTTGTTCATAACAATTAACAATACGAATGTAATTCCTGTTTGTCTTAATAAGTTCTAATTTTAATGCTTCTTTAGAGAAAAATCGAGCTTTTTCAAAATCATTTTTATGTATATATATATCGGAAAAATATGAATAAAGCCAATAAATCGTATCTTGATTGATATATGTTCTATTCTTTTTGAAAAGTTTAAATGATTGATTTAACTTATCTAAAGCCATTTGTGCATTTCCTTGACTTAAATAAACTTTTCCAATTTTACTAGTAATTAATACTCGATCATTAATTTCTTTTGAAAAATTTAAAGCATTTGAATAAAATTCTAATGCTCGAGTAAAATCATGACGACATTGATAAATTTCACCCAAATTACTAAATATTGTTTTGATTATTAAAGAATTTTTTGGTATAAACTTTTCATATTCTTTGTAAACTTTATAACTTTCGTATGCATAGTAAAATGACTTAGTTGTATCGAGAGGTATATTATATACTATTACAAATGCATTACAAACGATTAGATATCTTAATGGATTAAAATTTTGTTTGTTTTGTTTATTTGTTTCGAGTAAATCAAAAGCTTTTTGAAGATAAGTTAAAGATAATGGAAGTTTTTTCATTTGAGAATAATTAAGACCGATTATTGTATATATGAGAATCAACCTGGGATGAGTTTTTGGTAAGATTTTTACGGCATAATTTAGCGATTTTTGAAAATATTGAATAGCTTCCGTAAATTCACCTTTTCTAAAATAAACCAATCCAATAAAAAAAAACGTCATATAACAATGAGGATAAGTCGATAAATTTAATTGACGTTTTTCTAATGATTGATTGAAATATTCCAGAGCTTTATCAAATTCTTTCATTTGCGTATAAATACCACCAAAAGCATCGTTTAAATCAACTGATTCTAAAAAATCGATTTCTTTTTCGTATTTTAATGCTTGATTTAAATAACGAAAAGCAATATTATACTTCCCTTCATCAATATACAAATAACTTAAATGAATACAAATTGTTGTATAATAAATCGTCTTTGTTTTGATTTTATTTAATGCTTTTAGAAAAGTGTGTAAAGAACCTTGATAATCACCTTTCTCGTATTGGATTTGACCATGAAATGCATAAATAAAACCCTCATCCTCAAGATCAAGAGGTGATTTAGAATCTTTCATTAACATATCAATATATCGTTCCGCTTTTTCATAATCACCTGATATTAAAAGTAAATAAGGAAATTTTAATTTTGATGAAAGTTTTTCAAATAAATTTGTTTCAATTGAATTAATAATTTCATAATAATTTTTATTATCTATTAATTTTAATTTAATTTTCCATTGATTATCTTTCATTTCAATCGAATCAATTGAATCGATTAAAAAAGTTGAACCAATTGGAAAAATCACTTCTGATTCTTCTGGAAAATCACTTTGATCTTCAACATAAACAGGACGTAATCGTCTATCTTTAAGTTGAGAAGTAAAACTTACATCAATTTCAAATAAAATGAAGCACTCATCATTTTCATACACTAAAGCCGCTTCTTTCTTTAATGTTGCTGATAAATATGTATTAAATGAAATAGATTTTCCAATACTATTTTGTAATTTAGTTAATTCTAATACAGATATTCTTTGACCACGATAAACTAATTGAATTTCAGCATTTTCTTGATAGTGTTCTTCAAGTTGTTTTTGAAAATCAATAAGAAAAAAACGAAATTTAAATATAGAATCAATATCACGCATTCTGAATGCTTTATTGAATTGTTTATAGAGAAATGTTTCACGTGTATACCACCAAATAGCTTTGTTTGATGAATATGTGCTTTCAAATTCTTTTATGAGTATTTGTTGAGAATCAGCTGGCGGATATTGTTGACGACAATATTCAATTAAATCATCTTTTGATTTCTCTTTATAAACATTAAGATGAAGTAAATTTTCAATTAAGACATAAAACCAAATAAATGATCGATTTT